CAGACTCAAGCTCTGCCAGGGGAGGGTTAGGTTGGATCTTAGGCAGAGATCTCTCCCAGCTAATAAATCCTGCTGGGAGAGAAATGCTGGGAATACTGCAGGGAGATCATCAGGGTAAGACACATCAGGACAGAGTGGGGGATGAATGGATTGATAAGAAAAATGGAGAGAGACTTTTTAAGATGGTCTGTAGTGATGGGACAAAGGGCTCTAAAACAAAGGCAGGTAGATTTAGACTGAACATAAGGAAAAATTCCTTTTAGGATGTGTGTGCTGAGGCTCTGGCACAGGTTGTCCACTGTGGCTGCTCCATCCCTGGGAGTGTCCCAGGCCAGGCTGGATGGGGTTGGAGCAGCCTGGGCAGGGGAGGCAGAACAAGATGAGCTTGAAGATTCCTTCCAACCCAAACCATCCTGTGATTCTGTGAATGATGACACACTGATCTGGTTGCTGTACAGTCAATAGTTTTACCCTGATTCCTAGAAGAAAAATGCAGTCACATGAAAAACATTCTAAGATTGAGTAGCAATTTATGTTCTTGTTATGACTCACAGCAGAGAAACAAAGTCTGTGGAGTCTTATTTGTCCTTCCCAAGAGGTAAAGCCACAAGACCTAGACCAGTACATTTTAGAGATGTCTGTAGGTGTGTTTGGTGTTGATGTTGCTGTCACACAGATTTATACTGGACTCAGCCTCCAAAGGAAGGAGAAATGGGTAATGGGGATTTTACTGCCTATCCACTTCTTGTTAAATTGTCTTCATTTTTTGCCTTAGCATCTGCCTCACTGAGTACTCATCATCTGCTACTGAGCCATCTGATGTACAGCAGATGTTAAGCACTTAGTGAGGCAGAGAAGGAGGTAAAAGTGTCATATGATGATTAAAGACTTGCTACAGCCATTCTATAGGGTGACCATACTGCTTTGCTCTTACACTTAATGTCACAGTGCTCTGAGCAGGAGTGAGCACATGTTCGGCATTAAGCTTGCAACTGCTTGCAAAAACAATTATCTTTGAAAGTAAAGTTTTTCCACAGGAAAAAAAAAGCAATATATTTTAAACACGCTTTGGGATTAAGGTTTGTATTTTTCATTCAGATGTTTCTCATCAGAAATTGGCTGATGGTAATTGATGCACTGTCACAGAATCATAGAGTCAACAGGGTTGGAAAAGACCTCCAAGATCATTGAGTCCAACCCTCCCGTGGTCACTAGCCCATGGCACTAGGTGCCACATCCAGTCTCAGCTTGAAAACCTCCAGGGATGGGGAATCCACCACCTCCCTGGGCAGGAGGTTCACCCACAATAAGTCCAGCAGCATCTCCTTGTAGCAGAGTAGAAAATGGGTTGTATGTAATAAGCTGGAGCTGGAGCTGCTATTGAACACAATTAGTTATGAATCTGTTTCCCAGGAAACTCTGAGAATTGAGAAGACGTGCAGAATATTGTCACACACAGCTAAGTAGATTCACATTGATGTATCTGAGCAAACAGGTTAGATAAGGATGGAGGGACATGTCCATCCACACAAGAGATGTGGCTTGTGTGGCTCTTTGCAGCCAAAGGTGAGAGGGAAACCTCACAGTGCTGGGGACACTGTGTAGGGTCTCAGCTGAAGGGCAGCAGTGTCTGGGCTGTATGGATTGTGTGGCTCAGAGCAGAGGTTTGATCATCTGTTTCCTGGAGGGACAGCAGGTACTCAGCTAACAGGGCAATCAATAGCCATGTTCACAGAGGAATTCCCTCTGGACTTACTTAGCACTTCTTTTGGAACTCTCTGCTGGTTTTGCAGGGTTGGTTTTAACATCTCAATATCAGTACAAAGAGGTATTGTATTTAATTAAACTAAAAACTGCTTTACTTCCACAGTAAGGTTGTGATTCTGAGTGTATGACTCACCAGAAATAGCTTTTGAGCAGAAATGATCACATCATTCTGCACGTGGTGAAGGCACAGATGTTTCAAGCATTGTTTTGCTTTGAAGCTCATTGAAGTGACTGGGAAGATTCCTGCAAAAAAAGCCAATTCCACATCCCAGTGTTTGGCAAACTAACTCATCAGGACAGTAAATGTAATTTTCCAATCAAAATCATAATGTTTGCAGTGCCATTAAAAAATAATCAGACAGCTCTTCCAACCCTCCTATCTTCCTGATAGCTCATCTAAATTTCCCTCTTTCAATTTATACCCTTTACCCCTTGTCCTGTCCCTGCAGCTCCTAACACAGATCCCGCTGCAGCTTCCCTGGATTCCCTTCAGCTCCTGCAGGTGCTCTGAGCTCTCCACACAACTTTCTTCTCACAGAGGACATTACTGTGCTCATCCCTCTGCTGACAAAAGCTTTCCAGTGACACCCACTGCACCTCAACACAACAAAATTCAAAACTTCACTTGTAAAATCTCTCCAGTTGTTTACTGAGATGAATTCAAACCCACCTGTAAGCTCAGAGTTTGCCTGTGTAAAATGAGGTTTTCTGGAAACATATTCCTGATACATAACACAACTTTTCAAAGGCTTGGCCTCCTTTTCCCAGCTGAAGTGGAAGGGGATGCTAAAATTCACAGTTACAGAGCCAATCTGTATCAGCTTAACCTTGACAGAGTAGTCATGTGGTCCTACCTGGTAGTAATGGAACCAGCAGAGAACTGGGAGATTAAAATGCAAATGATACAGTCTTGAAATCTGCCCAGTTATCTGTCCCAGGTAATAAATCATAAGGCAACAGCTTTATGAAGGCTATTGTGAAGCAAATGGCATAACCCAAAGATCTAAAGGGGAGTAAATAAACCAGACCTTTCTAGCTTACATCCAGCAGCTTGGGGGACTCAGTTACAGCTCTTAAACAAACCCAGAGAGCCATAAAGAGTTAGGAAAAGCTGTAATGAGAGACCTTTGAAAGGTTAGTTTCCCTCCTTTGGACAAGAATCTTCCCTGCTTTGATTGCTGTGCTGCATCATGGGGCTAACAGCAATAAGACAGACCATGAGAGACACAGCCTGGGGGAGAGTTCAGCCTGTAATGGGCAGCAGGGTCAGGGCACACCTGAGCTGCTGTTCCTCTGAGCTGCTGGGGCAGGTCACTGTCCAAACAACCCAGACAGAGTGCCCAGGAACTTCCCATTCCACCTGGGAGAGGAAGAGCTTCAAGTTCTTCTCAGTTTGGGAGTAACTTTTCTATTGTGACATTGACCTTGTTTGTAGAATGGACACTGATTTTTAAATCTGGAAATGAAGGAATAAACTTGCCAAAAGGTTTTTGCTTAATGCTGACTTTCAAACAAGCACAAAGAGGAGGAGTGTTAAGGCTTTCATGTCGTGGGTGTTAGTATATCCACACTAATAGACTATCTGTGTATAAAACCCCAACTCCAAACAACGAGGATTCTTACTCTCAATAAAAGGAAAAAAAAAAAGGTTAAACAAAGTGCACAATGATGTAACTTTAGCTTCATGTTTTTAAGGGATCAGGCTTTGAGATGCCATAGATATTTCGTTTGAGCATTGATTTGCTAGTCAGAAAAAAAACCACTCCAAACAACAAAAAGAATAAGATTTCTCCTTGAGACAAATTCCAAAGTGACTTACCAAGTAAGTCAGCAGTAAATGAGGCTCCTGCACTTTGTCTGTGAAACAATGCAGTGAAAAGGGAAGGAGCTGTACAACCATCATCACTCACGTGGCAACAATAGATCTGCCTGCAGCAGACAAAACAACTCCTTTAAACTGTGCAGTGCTGGGAATAATAAGAACTGAAAAATACAAAGCAAGAAGATAATTTCTCCTGACTATTTCCATGTAACTCTGCTGTCCCCATTGTCTTTCTCCTAGTGACTGTGCCTTGTCAACCTGAACTGTTGGCTTCAGTCTCTGTTTTCCCAGTGGGATGTGGGACATTAACTGTTGCTTCTAGTGTGACCAAAATGACAAGAAGAACATAAAAGTGATCTTTTAATTTCATCTCCAAAGATGAAAAGTAAGCACAGCATGCTCAGGCATAGCTTCCTGAGGAGATATTGGTGTGCAGGAATTAGAGCAACGAGGCTGGGGAAGGGACTGAGCACAAGTGGCATGAGGAGAGGCTGAGGGAGCTGGGGGTGTTCAGCCTGGAGAAGAGGAGGCTCAGGGGAGACCTTCTCACCCTCTGCAACTCCCTGACAGGAGGTTGGAGTCAGGTGGGGGTTGGTCTCTTCTCCCAGGCAACAGCAGCAGGACAAGAGGGCACAGACTCAAGCTCTGCCAGGGGAGGGTTAGGTTGGATATCAGGAAGAGATTTTTTCTGGAGAGAGTGCTCAGGCATTGGAATGTGCTGCCCAGGGAGGTGGTGGATTCCCCATCCCTGGAGGTTTTCAAGCTGAGACTGGATGTGGCACTTAGTGCCATGGGCTAGTGACCACGGGAGGGTTGGACTGGATGATCTTGGGGGTTTTTCCAACCTGGCTGATTCTGTGATTCTCTGATTAAAACTGAATTTGTTTTGAGGAGGTGCAGGGTCCTGTCTGTTATTCCAGGAAAACATTTTGGCTCACTATCTATAAATCAATGCAGCTTCAGCCACTAACAAGTAAAGTCTTCATAACAAAACAGAGAGTAGAGTTGTAGACACTTAGATACAGACAAAGCTCCTCTGTGATCAAATAGTGTGGGGGGAAAAAAATCTCAGCTGTCTAGGACTTCAAGATGTTAATCTGGAGACAATTGCAGAGAAATGGCTCTTTGTCAGCCTTCCTTGATGGAGATACAGAGAAAGCAAACGCACGAGCCAAATGTTCCTGTCGTGCCTGTGAGTTTAGGGGGAAACTTTTGTTTTGTGCTTCTTGCATTGTTAAGAGGCAATTTAGAGATGTCTTTATCTGACAGCACACGGTGTCACCTGCCTGTAGTGCCTTTATCTGCTGGTAAAACCAACTTTGCTTTCCTCTTTCGGATAAAACACAGCAAACACCTCAAACTTCGTGGCCCTGCAGGTCTGTTCTAACAACTTCTTTTTCCAACTTCACAGATCTTCCAACTATTGGCTCAACCGCATCCAGTCCTTCCTCTACTGCAACGAGAACGGCCTGCTGGGGAGCTTTTCTGAGGAGACTCACACCTGCAGCTGCCCCAACGACCAGGTAGCCTGCAGCGGGTTCCTGCCCTGCACGGTGGGGGACGGCGCCGCGTGCCTGAGCTGCGCCCCCGACAACCGCACGCGCTGCGGGAGCTGCAACGCCGGCTACATGCTGAGCCAGGGGCTGTGCAAGCCCGAGGTGGCCGACTCCACCGAGCACTACATTGGCTTCGAGACAGACCTGCAGGACCTGGAGATGAAGTTCCTGCTGCAGAAGACCGACCGGCGGATCGAGGTCCACGCCATCTTCATCAGCAACGACATGCGCCTCAACAGCTGGTTCGACCCCTCCTGGCGCAAGAGGATGCTCCTGACGCTCAAGAGCAACAAGTACAAGTCCAGCCTGGTGCACATGATCCTGGGCCTGTCCCTGCAGATCTGCCTCACTAAGAACAGCACCTTAGAGCCCGTCCTCGCTGTGTATGTCAACCCTTTTGGGGGCAGCCACTCCGAGAGCTGGTTTATGCCTGTGAGTGAAAACAGTTTCCCAGACTGGGAGCGGACTAAGCTGGACCTGCCCCTGCAGTGCTATAACTGGACACTGACTCTGGGCAACAAGTGGAAGACGTTTTTCGAAACGGTTCACATCTACTTGAGGAGCCGAATAAAGTCGAACGGTCCCAACGGCAACGAGAGCATCTACTACGAGCCCCTGGAGTTCATTGACCCCTCCAGAAATCTGGGCTACATGAAAATCAACAACATCCAAGTGTTCGGCTACAGCATGCACTTCGACCCGGAAGCAATCCGAGACTTGATTTTGCAGCTGGACTACCCCTACACTCAGGGATCACAGGACTCAGCACTTTTGCAGTTGCTGGAGATAAGGGATCGTGTAAATAAACTCTCTCCACCTGGCCAACGTCGTCTAGACCTCTTCTCCTGCTTGCTCCGTCATAGACTCAAACTGTCGACCAGTGAGGTGGTGAGGATCCAATCTGCTTTGCAGGCCTTCAATGCCAAATTGCCAAACACAGTGGATTATGACACAACCAAATTATGTAGTTAACCATAAATGTGAAGCACAACACAAAACCTTGAAGGAGTTTTTACAGTGCTTTTGTGGAACAGTTTATGTTTGGAAGAGTAAATTTAAATTGTCTTTTCAATATCTGTCTTATATCAGTCAATACTGTTGGATGGCAATTTACACACCTGAACTTGCTGACGATGAATATATTATACCTGCGGTTTTGGTTTATGAATGAAATAAATACTGACACCAGTCTAGAAGACATTCTACTTTTTACAATAAATTTCATTTGTAATTTTATATGTTCCGTGGCAATGCTTTTGTGCATTACATCCTCTAGAGGGAACATAGAAGGATACCAATAAAATTTTGTAGCTGAACAGTTATTACAAAGAAACGCTGTGGGATTCTTTTTTCTTGCACAAAAGTAGTAACGTTGCTACACTTTTGTGTGTGCTGAGCACAGGAGGGGA